TAAGAAGGAAAGAAGAAGAAAAACGTCCAAATCGGACAAGTAGTTTTGAAGAAAATGTATCTCAAAACAGTTGAGGGAAGACATTTTTTGAAGACGAAAATTCTATGTAAACATATATTAATGTGGGAGCTTATCGTTTCCGATATATGCAGACTTTCAAAGTTTCAGATGTTTTTTGTGTTTTTGCAATTTCCTCCCAAGATTTTCAAAATAATGAATTGAAATTTGGTACACCTATCACACTTTGGAAACGCAATATTTGGGGCTATCCAGCTTTCTTGAATACATACAGGATGATACACTTTTGGGGGTTGTACCCGAGTTAACCCTGTCGAACTTTTTTGCGTACCACCTCTGTTTTATATGAATCATCAATTAATATGTTTCCTCCAATATGGTTACTTTTTGCTTCCCTTTGTTTTTCCGAAAAACTGTATGGGTTTCAAAATGAATGCCAAAAATACGTATTTCGTAGCAGGATTTCAACAGCTTGAAAAACACATTTTTTTAAGATGAAAACCTCATGTAAACATATATGCTTGGGGGCTTCGTTTCCGATATACAGGGTTTCAAAGTTTTAGATTTTTCTTGTGTTTTTCAAGTTTTTCTTCTACATTTTCCAAAATAATGAATTGATATTTGGTACCTACATCTGGTAAACTTTAAAAACGCCATATTTTGAGGCTTTCGAGCGTTCTTGATGAATACCTACAGGATGATACACTTTTGGTGTCGTGCAAACTTTGAAACCCTATTTATCGGAAACGAAGCTCCCACGCATATACAGGATGTCCGAAAAGGTCATGTCGTGAATAGTATTATGGCTGATAGAGTGAACACATCACCTTTCCGGAAACCCTGTACGTTTGTAGAAGATAATATATATCTCTTTTGAGCTGTTGAAATCCAGCTACAAAAAACTGATAACAACCCTGTATATCTATTACTTATCTTACAAACTATTATTCTTGGGGGGGGGGGGAAGTTTCCCCCATTACCCCCCATATCGACGCCGTTGTATGAGCACCTTTCCACTGTGTGGCCGTTAGAAGGCCCTTACCAATGCACTTCTTATGTGTTAGAATGACCATTACTTTTTTCTCAGTGTAGTTTCTCACTTTAGTCGCCAAGGAAATAATTTTCTGAACATTTTTGAGCAAAAAAGATACTCTTGTGATAATCCGCTAAAGTCAGCCAATTTCGAGATATTTCGATTTTCAATGTTTTATGCAGCGTTGGAATATTTAAATTATTTTGTGAATCAGCAGTGCAAAAATGGATTTTTCAAAATACTTTCTGGTATTTTTATTTTTAATCTTCACCACCCTGTAGGCTTCAATTCGGCTTATTTAGACCTCAGAAATATATATGGGCTGAGTTTTTAATTTAAGTTTGTTAGATTAGGCGAAGTTTTGTACAGGTCATTTAGGGACACCCAATAAATGTAACGATTCGGCAAGTAATCTGTTGGGTCAGGTTGCGCTTAGCCTTCGGACTGCTGGCTGGAGACTACCCTGCACTGATGAGAGCCAAAAAAGCTTGAAACCGGTATGTATAGGTTTTGTTGCGTTAACCTGGCTAAATCGAAATCAATCGGCATTAGAGAAAGAACCACTTGCATCAGTACTCGTTTATACGTATCGATGCATAGATTTCGGGAGGAAAGTAGTCCTTTTTCTTCCGTCAACTACCATTGATGTTGTTCATTTTATGAATCTTTGTGGAAATGACTGAGCTTTCTGTATTTATTTAATCTGTGTAATTTTGTCATTATTGCGAGCAGTGTATTCTTCTTTATTTACGCCGATTATTACTATAGTAAGTATTGTACAACTATTTTTTGCAGTATAAAATGTCATGATTAATCTCTTAGAAAATAAATTAGAGAAAAGTTGCACATTTTTAAGCCTATACCAAATATGCCTTTTTGAATGTTTTAAAATTCCGAGTACTTCTGGAGTTATGCATAAAAAAACGAAATTGCTTTGAGAGATTTCCCGTACGACGTTTTGTTTCGGAGAAACCATCATCAACTTTATTTTTTTATTTGGTTCATAAAAAAGTATACCCTGTATAAATTCTCTCAACGCTGTTGTGTAAAGCTTCCGTTGTGTCAAAGTCAACTTCTGTCAAACTACCCCTGGTGCCTGAAATGCCACTCTCAACTTCATTTTTATTATCGCTTGGTGCACCCCTATAATTTTTTTTTTCTGTGACGGGGAAAAAAGTTTGAAATTTCATCTCTGTTGACTGGTTATAAATATTCACTTTCCATAATGTTGTATTTGATTTTAAATTTTGAATATCCCGCCATTCTCTTTGAATTATATAGACTACATCTTAGGTTAGTCACGGTTCTATGTTCCATGTCAATATGTCAATGTATGTTCTGTGTACGATATATTCTGTGTTTTCGTGATGAGGAAGAAGTACAGTTTTTCAAGATAACACTTTTATTCGCCATTAGGAAAAAGAAAAAGCGTTTACGAAAGAAATTATGTTTGCCCACAAATTTTATGTCCTAATAAGAGTAGTTCAAAAACTACTTTATTTAATTATTGGACCACCTCAATAAATTACTTTTTTTCCCACAGTAAAAAATGAGTAAGTACTTTTTTCCCGGATATACAGAGTGTGTCCATTTAGTGCGTAATTCTTCGGTATCTCGAAAGCCATAACCTACAGAGAAAAACTTTGAGGAAAGAACTTTTTCAGTAACTAAAGTTGCTCATTTCAAATATATTTTCAACATTACCGGGTGTTTCATAAAAGCGAAACGACTCGGAGACGGGGTTTTTTAAATGGAACACCCAGTATTGTTTATTCAGAATTAATTTCGCCGGGGTTTACCTTCACATCGCTGTGAACAAAACTGGAATCGGGTCCGACGTTGCCAAGTTATAATATATAAACCTATTTTTACCATTATTGAAGAGTCATGTTGAATTGGGCATGGTATATTCATTTATTCAAATTTAAAAAAAAAATATTTTTAGCATACGGTAGCTGCAAGGTCTAACGTATACCAAGCCAGTAATTTTGCGACATGTTCTTTAACACGGTGCTCAATTTTGCATTTAGAATTTTGCTAGATTCAGAAAAAATATTTTGATAAAATCTATTCGTTTTTGTTTTATACGCAAAAAACAGATTTTGATCATTTTCATGTCTCCTCCGTAACTTCTTCATTTATGAAAATATTCATATAGAAATTTCACATTCTCATGGCAGTTTTCCGAAGTGATTTCGAAAAAAATATGAAATTTATACCAACTCTTCTAGAATTTGAGATATCAGCACCAACTTTAGTTTTTCAAATGTAGGTCATAGCTCACTATGACTTAGTTACGAATAACTTTTTTTCCTCTTTCAGATGATGTGTTGCAGTAATAGTTTTGTGTTGATAACAACGGAGTTATCGTCATTTATACAAAAACACAAAATTATTTGGAAGCCGCCATCTTGAATTTATAAATTTCAATGAGAAAATCATGATCTCCGACCTCAAAAATCCCCACTCACCAATTTTGAATGGAATCGGACCAAATCTTGTCCGCCATCTTGGAGCAGCCATTTTTTTTTAATTCAACAAAAATTCCATAACTCCGATTAACTTAAAATTTGGCAGGTGTTCATAATTTCGGTGACAATATATTATGGAATTTTTGTTGAAATTAAAATAAATTGCTGCTCCAAGATGGCGGACAAGATTTGGTCCGATTCCATTCAAAATTGGTAAGTAGGGGTTTTTGAGGTCGGAGATCATGATTCTCTTGTTAAAATTCATAAATTCAAGATGGCGGCTTCCAAATAATTTTTTGTTTTTGTATAAATGACGATAACTCCGTTGTTATCAACACAAAACTATTACTGCACCATATCATCGGAAAGAGGAAAAAAAGTTATTTGTAACTAAGTCATAGTGAGCTATGACCTACATTTGAAAAACTAAAGTTTGTGCTGATATCTCAAATTCTAGAAGAGTTGGTATAAATTTCATATTTTTTTCAAAATCACTTTGAAAAACTGCCATGAGAATATGAAATTCCTATTTGAATATTTTCATAAATAAAGAAGTTACGGAGGAAACATGAAAATGATCAAAATCTGTTTTTTGCGTATAAAACAAAAACGAATAGATTTTATCAGAATATTTTTTCACATTATAGTTGGCCTTGACAAACTCCACATTTGGTGTCATTTAACCGACCTCCTATCTCTCACCGTTAAAAAGATACCCATGGTGAGCATGGTAAGTGGGACACACTGTATACACTGTTGGTGGCTTTTGTTGTGCTATAGTTCCGAGAAATAAGACACCCCATTTATATTAGAACAGATCTATACATAAGTCAGCATAGAAGATTTTATTCAGTGGTCTGATTGAAATAAAAATAAACAATGATAATAAAGATATGTCACGGATATGATAATGATGATTCGGCCATTATTATACGTTTTGAAAATATCAGAAAAATCACTCGACCGCCTACTATGATTTCTCTACGTCACAGCGAGCGAGACGTTGATTCTACATTTTCCCGCTATTGCTGCTGTGACGAGTGGAAATGGAAATAAAATGGGAAATGGCATTTTGGGTACGCGGAACATATGTAACAGTGGGATTATTCAACTCTGAATTCAAAAAATCTGCGACAATTTCAAAACTGATAGATGTCATAATTGTGCAATGTCGCCATCTATTAGAAGATCGACGAAACCATTGCTCTCGCTGATGTTCTCGAGAGGTCGAGTAAAATTTCTGAAACAAAAGCGCATCAGTGAATACACCATATCTTACTTCCATCTTGATATGATATATATATAGTAGTATTGTTTTGTATTGATCCAGCTAGAACTACTGTACATCTTATACTGTACGTAAGTCCATTTCCGCTATATTGGTATGATAGGCACAATTAAAATAAGCAGCTGCATCAATTCATGAAACTGTTCCTTATTTACACGAATTTGAACCATCTTTAGAGATGACTTATAACCGCCTTATAACTCATGAACTAATAATAAGATTTAAATTTGGCGCGTGCATCAGCGGCGAATCATCCGAAGATGATCGGAAGCCGTCGGGTTTCAAAGATATACAGATACTGGTAAGACGCTTGTTTATTTTGTTAAAAATCCTCGTAAAAATCAGATCAGCCGATCAGCCATCAGCCTCAAAGTTCATTTCTCTCGGCAAGTGATAATATGATCGTCATCGTAATATTGGTGGTTTGATGATTGCAAAAATACTGTAGGTACTTGTATCAACAACGAAATTCTGAAAAATGTCGTCAGTTGTTTTTAAATCTTTGATACTGGGTGCTCCAGCTTCGGGTAAGGGAACAATTTCTTCTCGGATCATACAAAATTTCAATTTACAACACATATCCAGTGGAGATAAGTTGAGACAAAACATCCAGAAAAAAACTGGTAAGGATAAATATTATATTTACATATTTTCAAGTATTCAGGTAAATTATATATCAGTATATCACCCTATAAGTTGTATAATCCTTGCACCCTATACCCTTACCAACGCCGGTGACGCGATACCTAGCTACCTTATATTCCCACCTAGCACCTAAGGGAAGGGTTTCATTGAGATTGAGATATGATGGTCTAAACCATTAAACATAAGTACTCAACTGAAGCCCGATCACGACATGCAGCACTATCCATCCATACCATCATATGTCGATGCACTATGCATATATAATATATGACGTCACTTGTAGGCTGTATGAACAATCTACGTCACTTCTATGTCTGGAACAGTGGTCGGCGGTAACGGGTGTACTCAGGACTCTCTGGAGTCAGAACTCAAATTTCTGGTTGTACAGTAGGAGAAAGGTGTTGATTTTTATTAGATGGTGTATTTTTTCATTTTGTAGGTATGAGTTTGGCTCTTTTACCTGGTGTCAATTTTATTTTCACAAATAATCAATTTATTCTATAACGCATAAAGGTGGTAGGTTGGTGATAAAAAGATTTTTATGGGGGAAAACTATTGAATTGATAAAATTATTCAACACCCTATCCTAAATAATGTCACTATATATACTATCCTCAAAAACCCATACATTGAATACCCATATAGGTGATTCATAAAGGTTTTCCTTCTTAGCTATAAAGTCTTTATTTAATGAGTCATAAATATAGTAGTGATCTCTCAACAGAAAATCTCAATTTCTCAATAAACATCAAGTAAGTGTAAAGGTTTTCAACCTTTGTTTTCATCCCCTATGAAGATTATGAAAGACTGCCAAAAAGTTATTTTAGGTAGATGATGCATGGAAGAGCCTCATCAGTAGAAGCATAATATATTCCATAATTGAGGTGAATATTTATTTAATAAGGAAAATACAGATCAAAACATGACATTTGCAAATAATAATTCATTTGGTGGAATAAGAATTTTCAATAGGCAGCCACAAAGTTACTGATATGTATGAATAAGAAATATAACTCATTCACCAAACTGTTCTTCATTCTTAATCCCTTCCTCTAAATTGAGAGAGATCTACCTTTTTCCATACCATATGTCATTGTCCTATTAAATTAAATTCCCTGAAAACAAATATAATAAAATAATAGGATTCATAGGTATACTGCAGCTTCTTGTCCTATTGAAATAGTGTTGAATTAGTGCTAGTTATACCTAGTCATATTTTTTTGTTCTGAACTGACATTCCACTCCTGTTCCAGTAGGAATGGATTTTATCATCTGAATATAGATAATTCTATACAAATTGCTGCTGACTGGTAAACTACACCCCACCTATAGTCAATTATTGTTTATTATGAACGAAATCACAAATCACATCAATATCAATTGATGTTTACAGATATATTCTACCAGTTATTCACATTCTATGTTCAAAGGACAAAGGCCCATGTCCCACCAGTAGGAATGGATTTAGTCATCTAAAGAAGGTTCACCTGGAATAAACATCACCTATTTATTTATACAACATAATATACTTCCACTCTTTCAGTTTCAGGGAACTCTCACTTTTGATTCAATTGAAGAAATTGTATGATAACACGTGATAACATGTTTACTATCGACCAAACTATATCTATCCACCTTCCTATCGACTATGAGTTGAAAGTAAATTACCAAGTATCTGATTTCTATGTAATATTTCCTTATGCATTTGTTGTTATAATGATAATATTTGAAGCTTGTTGCCCTATTGCTATTTCCTAGTTATCTGAAGTCTTAAGTGGCGTTCACAACCAAACTTTTTACGTTTTGCTTTTTACGTTTCGTATTCTGATTGGTGAAGCAGAATCTGAAATAAAACGTGGAATAAACTTATGCAAATGTCATTCACAACAACAAAAAATCAACGTGACTTTTTACGGCTTTTCTCAGTTGCCTTGGTTTTGTCATTTGTGTTTCATCCTGAAATGAAGTTAAATAATCATAACAATAATATTGATTAGATATTTAATAATATTTATAGAACCGGTGGTGACGTAAATTGATCCTTATTCAATACTTGAAGAGAAAAATCAATCCTCAAGAAGAAAATAATAAACTGACTATCTAATATTCTGTAGATTCACGAAAAAATCATGAGCAAAAACATAATCATAACTTCCATGTATAGAATGTTCCATACATGGTATTGTTCTATCAGAACTAACAATGGTATTTTCCATTTTTATAACAGTATCATTTGTCTATTTTTACTATTTTCACAGACGATGGCTTCGTGCAACGCAAAAAGCTGAATATTTTCAGCTTTTTGCGTTGCAAGCATAGAAATCATATTATATATACTTTCTATGGTTGCAAGAAGCCATCGTCTGTGAAAATAGTAAAAATAGACGAATAATATGAAACATTCTGTAATAATATGGAAGTTATGATAATGTTTTCATGATTTTTTCGTGAATCCACAGAATAGTAGATAGGTATACTGTTCAATTCATTATTTTCTTGTTGAAGATTGATTTTTCCCTTCAAGTATTGAAGGATCAATTTTCATCTCCTCCAGTTCTATCAATTCAATATTATTAATTATCTGATCAATATTATTGTTGATTATTTACTTCATTTCAGGATGAAAAACAAATAACAAAACCAAGGCAACTGAGTCATAAAAAGTCACGATTTTTTGTTGTTGTGAATGACATTTGCTCACGTTTAATTTCAGATTCTGCTTCACCAATCAGAATACGAAACGTAAAAAGCAAAACGTAAAAAGTTTGGTTGTGAACCCCGCTTTAAGGTACCTAAGTAATAACAATAATAATGATAATGAATACCTAAATAATTAGTAAATATAAACAGAATCAAATGTCAGACTTCAGAGTCAGACATATTTGACATTTATATCAGTGACGTCTGACGTAATTTCTTGGTACAGAACGGTCCACAAGTGACGTCATATATCTGCATTCTAAAGAAGGTTGTATGTCGTCAAGTGGTCGTCAATTTATAGCCACCTTAGTCGTGACACACTTGGCGGGGCTTCCGAAAGGTAAGTCATGCTTCTACGAATTCCGCAAAATTTATGCGAATAAAATGACGACTGCGAATATCGCAATGAAGTTGAAATATTTGAACTTTTTTGCGAATTCGGATGGAATTATAACCACACAGTAGGCACAAAATGTGTTGTTATTTTGATATAACCATTTGGGAGTGGACAGCAGAGGCCGAAAAAATACGAGACTCGACACTATACTACAGGTAAGTACACAAAATCATGAAAATAAATTTCATCATTTCTCCATTTCCTTCGCAGGATGGATTTTCTGGACGAATTAATTTTAAACTATCATTCGTATAGTCTCTATACCACACAGAGCTAAGTATGTATCCAGATGCAAGAAAGGAGCTGAAGTGTTCGAAGCATTTTAGAATGCCAAAAATTTTATGAAGATCATTACAGCCTCGTTCGATAAGTACGACTGAATGACATAAATATTTCAATTACTTTCGTGTAACGCGCCTTCAATTTGATGAACTTCTATCAATGGTGGGACCAGAAATGAAGAAATTATATATGACAACCACCAACAGAACCCTCATCCGTCATCTGCAAATTTTGTCGCATGAGTATGAACGTCAAATTCTGTTGGGAATTTCATATTTTGCGATTCGCATAAATTTTGCGAAATTAGTACAAGCATGAACAAACCTTATATGTGATCTCTGACTGTACCTACCTAATAAAGGTTGATTGATAAGGAATGCCATGATATTATTTACTTCAACAGTTCAACTTCAAATTTGAATAAATTGATAATGGAAAGACCACCTACCGACAACACCGACAACCAACACTACTGTCACAGAATTGTTGGGTATTCTGTGACTGAGTTTATTGTTCAACAATTGGTTCAAGTGGTTCAACAGTGTGAGTGTTGTTCCAGGTTCTAAATTTTTCGTACTAGATTTTGTTTGGAAAAAGTAACAGATTTGGACCGAAAAGGTAATAGACGGCGAAAGCTTGACATATGACATTATTTCATTTTATTCAAGGCATATTCAGGGGTGAGTAATATGAGTTCTGTGATTCAGGGTCATATATCTACTATTTCTATATATAGCGCATCGTCTATACGATATCTCAACAAGAATAGGACCAAAATGAGAGGTACTATAGAATCTAAAAGGACGGAAAGTGGATGGAAATAACCATATAGAGGAGAGCTATGCTTCATATACAGGGTGAGTCATAACTATTGGGACATAGGCTAAGGGCGGATTGTTTGGACCAAAATTCCAAAATATGGCGATAGGACTAAATATGCCTTTATAGAATATTGCTGTAGAAAAAGATACAGGGCGTTGAAGTTGACTTTTTATTTTCGTTTTTTGCCAATAATTCCACTGTATATTCATCAATTGTTATCAAAATTAGCACAGAGGCATAATTTCATACAGGGAATATTATTTTATGTACTATTCTACATTTTGATACACGTGAATGATTCCTGATGATGAAATCGCCTGGTTACTTTTTTTCACGAGTGATTTTGATTGAAAAATATGACCTAAACATCATTTCTACGTAATATTGGTACTCTTATTTGAACACGATATTTTCATCCGTTTTCGAGAAAAACGCTATTGAACAGTTCAGAGTCTCGGAAGGTAATTTCAAATATTATTTCATTCATGAAGAGTGTGCTTTGAACTGAGATGTTTATATTATCTCACTTTGAACTGTCGGATGATGGTAATGGCATTTCTTGTATTCTTGTCAGAGAATGAATTTTGGTGCGAGTTTATAGTAAAAATTTTTTCGATTGAAATGCCTCGTCAACACAATAATTTTATGAATGAATAAATGCGGAATGCAACCAGAAGGTATGAATTGTAATATCTCTAATATCTAGACAGAAAGCAACCAAATCACAAAACTTTTGCAAATATATTTCATATACTTACAGTGAAATTATTAGCAAAAAACCGACAAAAAACGAAAAAAATCAACTTTAACGCCCTGTATCTCTTTTCACAGCAATATTTTATTTAGGCATGTTTGGTCCAATCGCCATATTTTGGTCCAAACAATCCGCCCTTAGCTTATGTCCCATCAGATATGACTCACCCTGTATGAGTAGTATATATTATATGTTCAGGGTGCCTTTGAAATGTGAGGGTACCTAGTAATCATTGTGAATGGGTATGATGTATTAACATTACCTAACCTTCAACCTTTGAGCAATATGTTAACCATAATATATCATACCCATTCACAATAAGGAAGGAAGGAAGGAAGGAATACAAAGAGACTCGAATCAACCATCTTAGCTAGAATATCTATAAGGCTAGAATATTGTTTTCTACTCACATGACTAACATGGAATTTAGCGTACGCTAAATCATCATGGGAGCAAAGGTTCATTTCCTCCCATGTGTCGTCGTGCATCAAACTTCACACGCGGGAGGAAATGGATACCTTATTTCTTCCCTTGATATATAAAATAGCTATTCCATTCCATAGGATACCATTGAAATGGCATGCTTACTAACCTTTATTGTGAATAAGAAGTTTTCATCTGACGTAGAGGATAAAGACCCTTCGATTCGATGGGGTTCAATAAGTTTTCGATATTTCAGGTTTGGATCCATATTCTGCTTGCATAATTTTTGGTCACATAAATATTGTGTTTTACGTTTCTTGACATGCTTAGCACAGAATACATTGCCCACAAAGATGAGAACTTCATTTGAAAGTATCTAAAACATTCTTTTCGATTTTCGATAACATCTGAGATTATTCTCATGACATACTCAAACACTAGAAAACACTAGAAAAAATAATCGTAAATAATAATTCAAACAGTGGAAAAATTATTAAGCAGAAATATTCATCTAGTTCAAAATGGAACCCGATATCTATATATCGTTTTATTTTTCAGAAGTCGGCAATGAAGCTGAGAGATATATAAAAGATGGGAAATTGGTGCCCGATGATATTATGATCAAGTTCATCAGTTCCGAAATAAAGAAAGTTCCAAATCAAATGTGGTTATTGGATGGTAAGTTGGTACAGTGACGAAACATTTTCGAATATTTTTCGATATTCGATATTTGTTCAATATACGTGTATATATATATATATATATATCTCTTCTTCAAACATTCTTCAGAACAAATCATCTGATCAGTCTTTAGTCTACTTATATTGAAATAATACTCCTATTTTAATTTTATATAGAAACTAGGAGAGAAAATTTCAAATAACCTCTAGCATATGAATAATAGTACATTTGGAATAATTGTTACCAAAACTGAAACTTTCTTAAATATTTTGTTTCAAGGTCGGTGATATTGTCAAATCTTGATATTTGCTCTAAAGATCATGGATAAACTATTTCACAACAATGAATTGTTGATTGACCGTCCAATTTGCCATTATAAAACATAATTCTCAACACTAATTTACGATTTATTGCCTTTCTGAAGTTTATGAAATAATAGAGGTGTTAATTGATGTATTTGGCAAAGTGATAAATTGCCGCTCGAAAAAGATAGCGGCAATACAACTTCGTTTTCCAGATATAAACAATGCAGCTTTCAACTTCCAACAATAAAATGTAACTACAAATGAGCGAAAAAATACTGGTTCGACCAGGACTAAATCCGGCCCGCTGGATGAGCTGCGGTTCATATTCTTTATAATATAAATTCTTTAAACTTAATCTGAAATAAAGCTCTCATTGAACCAAGAAGTAAGAACACTATGCTTCACGCTGTGCTTACAAAAAGTTTCAAGTATACAACGGCGGAGCCTTTGATTGTTCTTCAAAATGAGCCAGGGCCGGCTCTACAGATTTGTCTGCTAGTGTGCTAATCCCAGAGTAGCGCCCCTATTGGAGTTCATTCAATTAACAAACTGAAAGCTGATGCAATAAAATATAAAATTAAACTATTTGATGTTGTCAACAGTTTAATTTCCTGAAAAGAATACGTATATATATAATGACAATTTAATTCAACAAATCATTAACATAACTTGAAATAAAAATAAGTTCCTGAAATAAACAACCAGAGCCGAGAACGAAATCTAGAAATAAATTCATATTTTACCAACAGAGAATATTCAGGTGAAAATAACTATTGTGTTCATCGAATGGAAATTCATAAGTTTTAACCTGCACTGGCCCACACGTTCTGTTAAAAATCTCGCCATACTGCAACTTTTATGTTCTGGCCATTCTCCAGGGTCGTCTGAGGGAATTATGTTGGTCACTGGTTCTGGATCTTCCGGATCTTCAATCTTATCTTCTGTTTGTTGGATTTCCATTTCGATTTCCTTCGATTCAACCATTTCAAAAGCTCCTGATGAAGATGTGGCTTGCTCAGCTTGTTTCTCAGAACTTGTAGAATTCAATGATATAACCTCGGATATAACATTGGTATTGGTTTGTAGTAGAAGTTCCCTCCATAAATGTTTTCATAGTATGCGCCAGTTTTCAGATTTGAATGTTTTTCTCCATTCTTACCATTTCATCTTTCCACTCCTAGTTTTCTTCAATGAAACACAAACACTGGAGACCATGAAACGAACTGAATCACTGAAGTAGATCAAAAGACAATGTCAATGACAATATTCCCTGAACTTTGTCCAATATAGGTACCGCCCCACTCAAACCCCTACATCAAATTATCTATTTGTGTAAAAAACGCCGACTATAAATAAAAATAACCCCGTGTCGCTGGGCGCCCTGGGCGGCTTTCAAAAGGCGAATTGCGAATTGTTAAGATCATACATTGTTTGCCGCCACCGGCTTCCTGTAAAGTGAGCAAAAATATTAGGCCAATTAGGGACTGCATCAAACGCATTATGGAATCGTGCGCGTGCCGATAAAGGATTTCACGAAAGATAACCAACTGATGGAAGGTATTATATTCCGTACTTTGTTTTTTACGCTCCTGTCCCGACCCCCTTTGCCTTTCGGCGGCATGTTTTGATGTTTGGAATGGAACTAGTCAATTTTTCAATGAATATTTTAATTAGAGAGTAGGAATTTTTCTATCGTGTTCCCTTACGTTTGGCGCCCCTTTCTGGCCTGATGGTGTGCTGCGCACACCTCGCACACCCGCTAGAGGCGGCCCTGAAATGAGCCAGTAACACGTTTTCTCAATATTTATTCACCTTCTTAGAGTAGAACCAATTTATGGATGAATATATTATATTTTAAATTTTTTCCTGATTTAATCCTGTTGGAGAATAGGAGATTCAAAGTTGAAACTTTTGAACTTTATGTTACTTCCGGAGGTATGCGAGCGTTTTCTCTTCATTTACGCACACTACTGCAAATACTGTCAAATAATGACATTTCATGAAAAATGTGAATTTTGTGTTACGATTTGACAGCATCGAAGACTACTTTTGTTGGGAAATGTCATATTACCATATACGTATTAATAAACAATACGGATCATAACGGGTGCCAGGATGAAGCCAAAAATATGAAACAAATGAATATCCATAAGGATTTGGTGGCATGATACGCATGCGCCATGCGCTATTATAGTAGTCATCAAAGACATGCGTTTCGGTGGACAATGACGTTTACTAGCCTTTCAATCAAAGCAGTATGTGTCTGATCGTTTCAAAACTTTTCCTTATGGATAGTCATTTGTCTTCAAAAATCGGCTTCATGTTTCGCTATGGAAACAGATAGAGATTATCCGTATTGATTATTAATACGTATATGCATATTACACACCTCTCCTTCTCGCCCTCTCTTCCCGCCATCACTACACGCACTCTCACTACTTCGCACCCTCACTATACTTCGCGCCCTCACTTTTGTAATATTCTAGGTATGTTCAGAATGAAACAGAGATTTATTAATTGTGATCGAAACTTGTTGGTTGTAAATAATAGTCGTTGATTGATATATTACGCTTACGCTGGGAAGATGCCCAACCTTATGGGGCAAAACGAGGTCCAAAAAAATCTCACAACTAGATGGCGTACCATAGTTCGAAATCTCACATAGTGGCGGCGATAGTGTCGAACGATGTCGGAGCAATAGTTCGTAATTTGACGGGCAGGTGCGCCACTTACGAAGAGAATCTATTGGAATGCAGATGGCGTGCGACTTGGAACAATTAAACAATCCATAATCCGGAACGCTTGTATATCGAATCCATGATCAATCAGTACGATTCTGACTAATATGGCGGTAAATTCGAATTTGTTAGTATTAGTTGTATTTCTTTTATTCGTCTGAGGCTTCTAACGAGCGCATCACGGACGTGAGATCATGCGATTGTGGAATAAACTGGTCAGCGGATATCAATATATAAACTGCTCATAAATTTGATTGAAATTCACGAACCCGGACCAGTGTTGTCACCTTAGTGTATTTTACCCTAGAACTGAATCTAAATGGGTCTGTTTGAGTGGAATTCCATATTTCATTATGTCGAATTACTAAATCAAACGATAATTCACTGTCGCAAATCATTTTCTTGTCAGAGCTATGTACAATTTTTGAAATTTTTATTATTGAAATTACTGATATTTATCACATGAAAAACGCGGAACATTGCGTGACAATTCTATACCGCTATCAATCCAAAGTATTTTATATTGGTATATGATCCGACCTATGTATTGCCGAAACTTGGAGTGCCAATAATTTCCTTTGATTTATGTGGGGCGGCCGACTCGGTGCGTTTGTCGGCGATAGGGATGCCAAGTCGTCCTTTATTGTCGCCCTAACTACACAATTACATCCTGGGGACTTCCCAGGGACGTCCCTGATTTTATACAAGGACATCCCAGAGATATCCTTTGTCGGGACAGAGTACATACTAGGGACGCCCCAGGGACATCAGCTGGCTGACAAAAAAAGCATCCAAGGGATTTCCGTCTGGTACGTCCTTGGGATGTACCAAGTACGAAGGAAAGGATATCCCTAGGAGGTCCCAAGGATATTCCAGGGACATCTCTTCGACAAAAGAAAAAAATGTAGGTCGAGTAGGGCTTGAACCCGGGACCTTCAGCTTTTTCAGGCACCAAACAGATTTTTAAACAGGACCAAACTGCAGAAACCTGAATAAATACAATACTTTGTTAGGATTTGGGTATAATTATTATCATTCGTGGATGTTTAAAAATGAGGAGCATTATATGCATTTACGATTTCTGTTTGCGAAAAATGGTCATTTCTTGAGAAGTTCTGACTTTCTTTATTTTCATTACAATTATTTACCGGAAAAAAACCAAACATTTTCATAAAAATTCAACTCAATATTTTGATGAAAGTCAATGACTCTGATGTGAATAGATATCAGATATACCAAGGACACGAATTGGATAACCTATGGATGTGCGGGACATTCCCTGGATACCCCAATTATGTCCTTGTACCGTGTGACAAAGAGGGGAAGTACCTAGTACATCCCTGTGTTGTTAGGGCGGAGATTCTGAGCGTTCCGTAGTCTGTACTCCGTTTGTTTTGGAGCGGCAAAATCGATTCTACTCAGAAAAGGTTACTGGTATCACAAAATATCAACGCCGATTTCATGATTATATTATATCCTGGCATATAGACTGGAAATGCAGTTGATTTTGTTTTTATCTCAAATATACCAAAAAAGAGTTCATATTTTTCAACAACTAGATACTGTTAAAAATGGTTCATAAGCTTGCAGCATCAACTCTTGTAATCCAATAAATAAATGAATTCTATATATGTTCCAATAGTTATGACTCACTCTGTATATTATGCCTATTATAGATGATGTATTTTATTTCATTTTTATAGTGAACCATTAACAATCAAAGATTCAAAGATATCTGACTATTTATTTTCGATCAACTGATGGGACTCTAAGAAATTATCACATTCAGATTGATTATATTATCAATATTTTGTAATGTCTTATTAATACAAAATTTTAAAATGGATACAAATTGAGTAAAAAAAATAATCAACGAAAAAGGCGTGAGATGTTTTTTCAGATAATATACAAATTATATTGGTCTAGGGTATAGGCAAAGTATGACAAGTTATTC